AATCACATATTTTACGGGGATCCACAATTTTTATCATATTTTCTACCATATATTTTATCATACCTTTATCAAAAATCTAATAAAAATATGATTTTTAGCTAAACCAAACAGGGCGAAGTCTCTTCTTCCGTAGTTGTATGTGGTTTGTCAAACCACGTTTAATTAATACGTTTCTTTTTTATTCATTTTGTGTTTTGTATTTTTGTTGGTTCTGTGGGATTAATTTTTTTTCCAACAGCGGTACAGATCTCATTGTTTAAATTTTGGGATTGTTGCGAGGACGATGACGAGTTTCAAATTTGAGTTGGAGAAAAGGGTTCCAATAGGCCTCAGAGTATTTTATGTCCATTACAGAAATAGATTGGTATAGATGCCGAAGGACTTGGTGTTGCTTTTTATGTCCATTGCATTATTTGGTTTGTCTATGATGAGGTAGTAATAGTACTGAAAGGACTCGTGGACATGGGACTTCCTATCGTGATCGGAATACAGCAGAAGATGAGATGTATACGTTGAACCCTCTAATTAAAAGCTCAAGCTGATAGACGGGAAAAAAAAAATCTTTTTAAGAAAGAATACGGAAGAAAACAGAAAAAATTACCTAAAGCTAAAATTAGGCTCAAATTTGAGAATGATCATAATTTCCGCCTATTTGGTTTTCCATACCGTTACATTATTCATTACTCAAATTGTTTATTGTAACAATTTGATTTCTATATTCTTTGAATAGCACTTGTGACAGTGGAAAATCTTGTCTACAAATAATTTACTACACAATTCATCCCTACCTACCCCAATCAATGTATTATGTCAGCACTAACATTTTGTTTGATTTCAAAAAAGAAATTGAACAGCATGTGCCTTATCAGACCAAATGATTGATATCCAAACAAAATTACCAGCGGCGAAAATGCTTTTGCATTCTAAAAAATTCTGATGAACCTTAGAGCATGCATCAATCACAGATATTATATAATGCAAGAGATAAAATCTTTCATTAAATTTCAGGAAGATCAATTTGGGAGGACATATCATTACCTCCTGCAGTTGGTTACAATAGATATGCCTGAATTCCTTCACGTGCTTCTTGATATATTCCTCTAGTTTAGGGGTATCTTGCCTTCTAAAGATATCCCAAAGAGCACCACAGTCATCATCTTCAATCCCTTCAAACGAAGTCTTATTACCTTCTTCAGTGGTAACACTACTTTCTCTCTCACCACCACTCACTTTTCTATCTACTGTTTCATTTGTCATTCCTAATACACTGGGCGATTTCTTACTCTTATTCCTTCCAGGGCGCTTCTTTTTATTTCCATTGACTTCAGTGCCATTTTCAGCAACTTTGACTTCTGATGACACAACTGGATCGTGTTCCTTAATTTTTCCCTCTCTGCCAGGTTCTTGCCCTTCTACACCATTGTTTACAATATGCAAGCCTCCCTCTAACTCAGCCTGTGAGTTTGACATGGTCCCATTCACTAGATCAGATACCGTTAAATCTCTGGCTTCTTTTTCCAAGCCAATACCATCTGTTTCCAACATCTGCAGTGAACCTTGTACATCAATCTCGGATAGTCCCATTTCAACTTGAGTGATTTGACCTACTTTCTGACCATTTCTGGAAAACTCCCGCTGATCCTGGGCAGCATGATCCCGTTTCAACTTATTTATGGTTGAAAGTTGCGAAGATGGTAAGGCCACTGCTTCAATGTGTGTTAACACATTCACCTAAAACAGACATGAAATCAGAATATGAGCTTCCAAAATTAGAAAGTGACAATAACACGCAACATCAATTCAGCCATTTTGCAGTCAAGTTTCAGAATATCAAGAAAATTTGCACCCCACAACAGTTAATGCCTTCCAATATCTAATAATATTATTTTGCTCAAGTTCATAAAAAAAAATTAGGTGTGTATCTGCTCCTAGTAATGATTGTAATCTCCACCACGAAATTTGTGAGATCCTCCCATTCTTCTCATTGTCAAATCAAGTTTCAAGATTTCACAACCACAGTATGGAAGAAACATATCATGTCAATACTAATTAAATATCCACAAAAAACCATTTGTGGCTCCTTTCTTGATTTGTCTGCATTGACAACTATCAGAAGCCTAAATCGCAGAACAGAAAGGATCTCAGGCGACCATGCAATGTACTTCATCTTTATAGATGAATAAAATTGTAAAGATCCAAGGACAAAGGCATACTGCATCAGACATATCACAATGAAGCTTTGTGACTGAGTCTCCACGTCCAAGCTCCTCACAAAATCCATAAGCTATGTAAGTCTTTGGTCCCATATCTGGCTTCAGAGATTTTTTGGGTAATTTAACAGCAAGATTCAAGTATCCACTGCGAGGATGTGTATACTCCTTGAAAGGCAAGCAATTAATGAACTCAGCACCATGACGCGGCAACTGCTTCTCAAACAAAGTGGATGGAGGCCAGTCTTTCAACTTCAAAATCTGAGGCCACCCAGACTGGTCAAATTGACCCTCCGAATACCCTTTAAAAAACTGATGAACATTGACATCTGTCTGCAAGTCACCCAAAATTATATTCATTCAGCACTACAATTAGAGACATCAAGTGAGAAAACCACCCATACATCATCACATTCATGGCCAAAAAACAAAATGGAGATTACTTGAAAAGTGAACTGTTTAAACATATATTACATGGTTGGCATAAAAGCTTCCTAATTCACTGATAAACTACAACAGGTAAGAAATGTAAATCATACTTCAAAAACTACCAGGAAATCAATTTATCTAAACAAACTGAAAGGGCCACAAGAATGCCCATAATTTAAGGATATGCAGAAATACTGGAAAAATCAATGGAAGTGTAAATGGGAAATGGTCTTTACCAGATTCATTTGTGACGAGAAAATTTCTCCACATCCTTTACTGCTTGGCTCAATGCATGGATAATCATTTTCTTCACCTGGTAAAAAAAAAAAAACAAGATAAAAGTTTCCGTTATCTTCCTATAAAATTTATGACTAGAGAGGTAACTAGGCCAAAGCAGCTATTGTAGATATTTATTACTTCAAATAAACAGACTCCAATAAAAATCAGAAATACAAGCAAGCAGACTAGGACCAACATTTGAACCGCACAATATATGTAGGAAAATCAAACCTCTAGCTTATCTTCCTTAGCCAGATGGTTTTGAGGAAGCCTGCGAAATTCTTCAGTCAAACGGACGCACTCGTGAACATTTTCAGGGGATACAAAGTCCAGTGCCACCTTTATGCATGACTGTGCACAGAAAGACGTGAGAATATGGTTTGTAGCCAAATAAACAAAATAAATTGTATAATGGAGTTTGTGTATCAGAAACTAGAGAAACCAAGCAGAAAAAAAATTAGTAAAACAGAAGCATCTTTTATAGCAGAATGTAGACTCAACTGCCAATCTAAAGAACTAATCAGATTGGAACCAAAGACATAAATTTTATGTATTTCTATTTCATACTTGTTACTGTAGAAGAGTAGCGAGAGAACAAGAATTTGCCAGCGCATAAACCTCTAGATTTTCTTCAAGCTCCAGGAATGAAAAGTAAGACGAAAAGATAAAGAAATTAGGAGAAAAGCTTGTAGAGAAACAGAATAGCAGTTCACTTATTGTCCATCAATTGGCAACAGAGAAACCACCATAAAAAGAGCTTGTACAGAAAATAATCTTAAGATTGTGTTGTACAAGTTCTCATAAGATCTTTTAGTGAAATCGCAAACAAGCTGGGCCAAGATTTTTATCGTTGCCTATAAATATCACAACTGCATAAGGAGCTGGCCTTGTTCGAATCGATCAGCCCAATTGGATAAATATAAGGTTGTTATTCTCCAAACCCAAATCACTGCTCCAGACTTGTTCGTGATACCTTACTGTTGAGCTTCAATAAATCAAACACACAAAAATAAGTACAGTTACCCAAACAACAATACCTTCAAATTTCTAACTTGATGAGGGCAGCCTGCGGGTATCAAAACTGCATCCCCTAATTTCTGAACAAAAGTCCATGGTTCAATTCCTGTAGAAGAAAATCCGTTAAACATAATGAGAAGAAAATTAACCATATACTATAGTTACTTATTAATAAAGTAGGAAGGAAAATCAACCATATTCCTCCTTAAGTCTCCTTTTATGCTCCATAGTCAAGTAAACTGTTTGATCATGGATTGGGTGGACAACCTGAACATAGATGTACAACGCTGGTGAATAAAATTATAAACAAGCTCGAGCATTCCTCCCCCCTCCCCTCCCTGATTGCCTGAAGATATGAAGCCCCTGATCAATTTCCACGAAAACAAGTCTAGATAAGGCATCGGCTTTACAATTATCAGCTTGAGCTATTTTTAAGATCTCACAACTATTGAAGCATCTTTGTAAATCATGAACATTCAAACAGTACAATCTCATTTTTTTTCATCTTTCCTTTCAAAGGTGACATCAATTTGACATATGACTAACTGTGAATCGCTGAAAATCTTGATATGTTAAAGTTCAAAGTTGTAAGCGAGTTCCAAAGCTATAACAATGGCCTCATATTCAGCTTCATTATTAGTAGCTTCGAATTTGAATCTAAGTGCATATTGAATCTCTACAACTTCGTCAAGGTTGTTAAGTATGATCCCTGCGCCCGAGCCCGATGAGTTTGATGCCCCATCTATAGAAATTTCCCCAAGTGTTATTGTTCAAGCTCATGGTGAGTTCCCCTAGCCCTTGAGGCCTTAGGGTGAGTTCTATTGTAAAGTCGGTCAGGCATGTGCTTTGATTGAAGGTCTGAGTTTGAACTCTATGTCGAATTCGTCAAGCTCTATTACCCATTTCAGTAATATTCCGACACGTCGGGCTTTTGAGGTATGTGCCCTAATGGTTGATTTGTGAGCACAACAATGGGATGAGAGTGAAAGAACAGTCGCAATTTTCTTACAGCTACAACTACGGCTAGAGCAAGTTGTTTGGCTAATGTGTACCGAGTTTTAGCGTCATGAAGTACTTTACTAAGATAGTAGATCGGTTGCTGAATCTTGTTGACGTCTTTCACTAATACTCCGCTCACTACATTTTCAGAAACTACCAAATACAATAACAAAGTGTCCTTAGGTTCTGCTTTTGTACGAACCGGAGGTGCAACCAATGTTTACTTGAGCTCTTGGAAGGCTGACTCACATTCTTCATTCTAACCAAAGTTTTGGTTACCCCTTAAAGGTTTGAGAAATGGAAAGCACCTGTCCGCAACTCGCAACATGAACCTGTTTAGAGCTGTAATTCGACGTGTTAACTTCTGTACGTCTTTCTCGCTTCTAGGTGACTTCATAGATGTTAGGGCCTGTATTTTGTTAGGGTTGCCTCTATTTCTCTGTGTGTGATCATGAAGCCCAGTAACTTATCTGATGCTACTTTGAATGCCTATTTAGATAGATTTAGTTTTATCCGGTACTTTCGTAGTGTAGCAAATGCTTCCTCGAGATCTAAGATATGGCCGTCTACTTGTTTGTTTTTTACCATGTCATCCACATAGGCCTCAATGTTCTTGCCATTCAGGTTAGAAAAGACCTTATCGATAAGTTTTTTGTATGTTGCTCTTGCATTCTTTAATTCGAAAGGCATAACCCTGTAACAATAGATGACAGAGTCAACCATGAGAGAGTCTTCTCTTGATTTTCCTCAGCCATGATGATCTAATGATAACCCGAAAACGCATCAATAAAATTGTACAATTTATGGCCCGACGTACTATCCATGAGGTGATCAATCCGCAATAAGAGGTAGCTATCCTTAGGACATGCTTTGTTGAGATTGGTAAAGTCGATGCATACACGTCACTTCCTATTGGCCTTTTTAACAAGAACAACATTCGCGAGTCAATCTGAATATTGAACTTCCATAATGAACTGAGCTTTAACGAGCTTTCTGATTTCTTTACGAATGATCTCCCGTCGCTCGGGTGCAAACTGCCTTTTTCTTTGTTTAACTGGTCTAGCTTCGGAATTAAGAATATGATACAATATATCTATTTTCCTAGTAATAGGAGATATTTGAAGTATGAGAATATGCTAAAAGTTTGTATATGCTTGTATTCACGTTTTTTCCCCTTTCTTTTTGGGTTTGGGATCCCTATTTATAGGGAAAATATGCATGCATGCTGCACCTCCTGTCTTTTCACTGGAATTTCGAGCTGAAGAAGTACAGTGGCTGGCGAGATAAGATTGGCTGCCGAGCCCGATTCTATCGTATTACTTCAGAGTATTAATTGAAAGTGACCCCCAGCAATTAATGCATTACTTAGTGGGGGATGCTAACACTTCTGATTGGAGGATTATGTGGGTGCTGATCTAAGATCTTTCAAGCAGCATTTCTGTGATTGGTGGCTCATATATCCTGTCAGAAATTCTCAATCATTACATTTTTCCTTGCCTTGAAAGATTACACAAGCTTCTTGAGTAAGCCACTCAAGATCCGAGCTGATCTCACATATCCGAGCTCATATTAGTATGAGCTTAATGCATGTATCAGACTGTATTTAATGAGGTCGTAGGTTGGAGCTCGCATGGTGAGGTCGGATTACACCGAGGTCGGAGCTCGCCTGGTGAGGTCGGATAACAACGTTATTCCCCAGGTCGGAGCTCCTTGGTGAGGTCGATGTATCTGCCTGTTGAGATCGGATATCAACAATATTTAAAAAAAAAAAAAAAAAGTAGGGCTATGCTCTTAATAATGATTAAAAATTCATAAATGGGTAAATAAATTTTTAAAACATTAACCTAAACTTGAAGCTCCAAATAATAAGAGATTAGGCGACTTTTTCCCCTCTCCTATTTTACACAAACTTGAAAGGTGAAAGAATAATCTCTGGATCTAAACCTTGTTATTTGATCGCAGGTCATTCGGTAATCCTAATTTCTTTTTGTCTTTTAGGGTTCACCGTTACTCGTCTTTACACAAGCATCTTTTTTTTTTTTTCTTTTTGTAATTAAGAATAGTATAATTCGACTTCCATTAAAAGTTAGGTTTTAGTGATCTTTATTTTTGATCTTTTTAATTCTTCTGATTGCAGGCTATTTTGCGTTCTAAAGAAAATGGTCAGTCGGTATTCGCTGCATATTCTAGGGTTTGTTTTAGTCTTCGAATTCATGGAATAAAAGCTTTTGATTTTTGCTTAGTTGATTATTTGGTTTTGCAGCTTCCTCTTTCTTTACTCAAGACCGCTCAAGGTCACCCCATGGTATGATTTTTTATCTTTGTTTCTTCAATTCAGAGCATATTAATTTTACTTACAAGTAAATAAGTAAGTTTTTTTTTTTTACTTAAAATAAGAAAAAGTATCATATCCAATCGTGTTGGGAAAAAAAGGGTAACTTTCATTTTTTTTAAAGCTTAGTCAAACGTCCTCAAAAAATTCACTTAGAAGTGAAATTAGTATATTATGAATGCATGAAATAAATATTTTTTTCATTCATAATTCACTTTTTAACTTGTTGGAGTTAGAAATAAGCAACTTATTGTAACAGCAAGTAAAAGTTCAAAATAAGCTACTTTTTTAACTAAGTTATCCAAGTTACTTAAAGTAACTTTACTTATTTTTAAGCGTAGGCAAACATGCTCAGGAAAGATAATCAACTTTCTCAGGGGATTTCGTTGTGGTTTATATTATGAATCTTAAAGATTGACTATACCACTGAGGTGTCAAGGATTTGATTTTTGTACTTAGTTTTGATAAGTAAAATTTATTGAGAAGTATTGCAAATTAAGCTTTAGTTGCTCATACTATGATGGTTTATGCGGTGTGGCAGTTGGTGGAGCTGAAAAATGGGGAGACATACAACGGGCATTTGGTTAACTGCGACACTTGGATGAACATTCATCTCCGTGAAGTTATACGTACATCTAAGGTCATTTATTCATCACCTATGATGCACCGACACGAACACGTGTGTCCGACATGATACGTGTCGGATACGCCGACACGCGATTTTTTTAAAAAAGTATAGATACTACACATCATTGACACGTTGATTAAATTCTTAAAAATTCTTCATTTATATTGTATAAATTTAGTTTTATACTTGTTATTAATTTTTCTTGTTGATCTTTTAAATTTGAGTACATATTTGTTATTTGCTAATAATTTTGAATTAACAATATATAATATTTCTAATATAAAAAGAAAAATGATTACGGTAAGAGTGTCCGAGAAGTGTCGGTATCGACTTGTGTCCGACACGACGCTACCCTAATTGAAATATCCGTGCTACAGAGTTCTCGGTGTAATTGTTCTAGAATATGTTTACATGTCATTATTACGTGTTCAGTAGTGCTACTTTTTTGCTGAATTTATGAGGTTTGAGATGGCTTCACAATGTAGGATGGAGACAGGTTTTGGCGAATGCCCGAGTGCTACATCCGGGGAAATACAATTAAGTATCTTAGAGTTCCAGATGAGGTATGTCTTAGATTATCGTGTCATTTTCAGATTATGTTTTCTGTTCTGTTCATCCTATCAAGTTTTCTGGTGATATTTGATCTAAGTTGTTGGCTGATATTCCACTAATATAAAGTAAGATACTCTGGTGAATTACTTTTGTGTATTCAATATTATGTAATATATTTTGTACTTCTATTTTGACGACGATAATCTTGAGGTACCTAAAATCTCTACAAGCAATATGAAACCTTTTGGCTACGAAAAGTAGACAATTCAAAAGATGAAGGGCCCATAAAATGTGTGGTTAAAATTAATTGTTAACTTTGATTTTGATTAAAATCTTGATTTTAATTTTCACCAAACAAGGGCTAGGTTTCGAAAAGAAATTACTAATTATTAGTAGACAGGTTTATTAATTTTTTACACATTGACCCGAGTTAGGACCTGGAATTTTTATTAATTTAGAGAAGATCCAGAGGAGATTATTTTAGAGGGGTTTCACTGTACAAGGACCATCAAAAGGGCAGCTGTATCTTCTAAACGAGTTGATTTTGTTTTTGTTATTAATTCATTTTCTTGTTGCAGTTCGTGCATAATTGATACTTGGAACAATACTATGCAGTGTTG